GGCCACTACTTTATTTTTTATGTAACATTTTAATTTCTATATTGCCCCCCATTCCTTTTAAATTTAGAAATATTTCACACACTTAAGGGATCAAATAGATATTACCACGGGGATTATTTAATTCAGTATGGCTAGAACGTGAGTAGAATAGATTTTATGTTTCAAAACATTGATTAAGCTTTAGTTTTATTTCTAGACAGTCCCTTGCCTTCACCCTCCATAATGGTGCTACAGCGAGTACTCAAATCCCCTAACAAATAAAAAACAAAAGGATGACACAGAGTTACCAGATTTCTTTCTTATCCTCCCATTGATTTATTTAGGGCAGCTTTAGGGCTCAAATTTATTTTTATTTTCATAAGGGTAGTATACAAACTTCGGTGAATTGTTGACATTACAGCCTTAAGACTGCATTATTTTTATTTTACTAGATGAAGTGTTTAGAGGACACGAGCCGGGTCAAACAGCAAACAGGTCTGTATCAGCAGCGGATGTTGTTTTATATGGAGTAAACCTAATTCTGCCCTTGATGTCACAAGATCTTTTGAAGGTAATTATAGAAAGTGAATGTGAACATAAAAACTATATATGCCTGAAGTTCGAAGATATTTTAGACAAGAATATATCTCTGATTTAATTAAGGAGTTGTATCTGTTAAGTGCATGTGAAAATAAGCTTTTTGTGTTTGTCTTACAGTTTCTTGTGCATGCTTTTAGTAACATAGATCTTCACTTAATCTTCTCTTTCTGCCCCAGAGGATATATTAGTAACTCATTCTGTAAGGGAGGGCTACAGAAAAAAATCTGTCCTTTTAGAAACTGAGCTGTATTAGCAGTTTCAAGTCCCTCATGATTTGTCATTAAGAGAATGAAAGTTTTATATTTAGGTGTGTTCCTCTGATATCTTTTGAGCATTGTTTGCAGGTTGAGGGATTGAGCAAAGGAAGGCATTTTCCAAGCCACTCCACGCAGAAATGGGATGATAAGAAACCAAGACTAATACAGTTTTACCAATTTTTGCACATTCTGACTACGCTGTGCCTTGGCTTCACCAGTCAATGCTGAGGGTGTGGTGGTGGCGAGGCTGCCTTTTCCCTCCTCCCCTAAGTGCCATAGTGGAGGGGAGGTCTCTTGTGACAAGTGGTCGTATGGGGATAAGGGTTGGGACGAGGACATGGATGCAGAGGAGGAGAGAGGCGTGAGTGCATGTGGGAGGGGTGTGCAGCGCACGCGGGAGGTAAAGGAGGGGAGAGGCGTTAGGAAGGAAGAGAATGGAGGCTGCAGATCCCCAGAAGGCAAGTGTAGGAAGAGCGAGAGCTGTTGGATTCCCAGCGCAAGAGCCACATGCTTCCCTCCTTGAGAAAACAGTCCTGGTGACCTGGAGCCGGGTGCTCACACAGCAGCCAGTCACATGAGGAGGTTTAGTTAGCTCTGTGTGTTGGTTTGACTTTAGGGTTTGTTTGTTTGATTAAATAAATTATTAAACATTTAGGTGTGTATTTTTCTTAAGTGTGGTTAAACCAGATTACCTACCTTCAGCTCAGTTCCCCAGGACTATCTAACTGGAAAATAGTTTTTGGAAACGTGAAGAACTGAATGCTTTGCTCTGTGCTTAGTCTTAACAATGTGTGTCGCCGCCTTCTATTTTTCCAACATGCTTCAACGGAGATAAATACATGTACAAAAGAGTTTTATTCCCAAGTCATTTAGTAATTTTAGATTTGGCTGCCTCGCTTACTGTTTCAAAGTAAACATAGACTATCTAGAATCAACTGTAGCTTTTATTAACTATCCAGAAGGTTCCTACTGTATATTACTTTCTTTCAGAGTAGTTACTAAAATATGCCCTTTATTATAACTTTTTTACATTTAATTAGATCTTCATATTTTCTACATCTTGTACATGTGTTAAAGAAATCATTATACTTAGAAGTTTGTCAGTTACTTCATTACATTAATGAAAATAAAAATTAGATACTATTGAACATCTAAATATTAACATTTCTTTTTCAGTTTCCAACCCTTTGTAATCAATACTACAAATTAATCACATTTATCTGTGAGATTTTTCCTGAAAAAATACCGCAGCTTCCTGAGGACCTATTCAAAAGTCTGATGTACTCTCTAGAATTAGGAATGACATCGTATCCTTTAAATGAACATCATTGTCACTTGTGTTGTGGGAAGAGATCTTACTTAAAGAAAAGTTTTTAAAATTTGTGTTTTTTTCTTTTGTGGTTCAGTTTTATTTCTTCAAAAAGCTGTCATCTCCATAACTGCTCTGTGTTTCTTTTTTTAGTTTGCCTCGTCTTGTCCTCCTCTGACAGATCCCTGAGGCATTTGGCCCCTAGCCTCAAAGTCACTTTTTCTTTAGGGCCCCAGTTAGTAATGTCATATGGTGGTGCTGGGTCTCTGGTTTTAGCTCCCTGAGAGTAGATAATTATATGACTTTTCATCAAATGTGTGCATCATAAGTAGAAAAAAGGTACAAATCGCCAGTCCCAAACCCAAAACCTTTATAGGTCATCTGAAAAACCACTGGGAATCTTTTTTCCTTACACAACTCAGTAAAGATAAATTGCACACAAATCTACTCATGTATCTGTTTTCATTTCTAGAAATAGTCATCCATTTGATACTAGCTATACTTTTTTGATCTTTTATAAGTCAAGTATATCCAATCTAGTTTGCTCTTTGACTTTGGTGATCAGAATGAGTTCGGAGGTTTGCCAGCTTTGCCTGGAGGCCTTGACACCATTAGCTGAACAATGTGCAAAAGCACAAGAAACAGATTCACCACTTTTTCTAGCAACACGGCACTTTCTTAAGGTAAGATGTTTGGGTCGTAGGCCGAAAAATCATCTACTTTAAGTACAGTCGATGCACATGATTCTGCATTCAGATGAAATGCTTACATTCTTTCATAGAAGAGGAAATAATTTCCATTCCCTGTTTTTTCTGGAGAACAACTCTTCATGGATACATTCTTATCCATTTTTATTTTGTGCTCTTGAAAATTGATATGGTAAATGTAATGGGGAATTCGATAATTTGATTATTCAGATACCACAGCAAATAACAACAACTGTAGGTTATCCTTGGGTTTAAAAAAATTTTTTTT